AATAATTTGAATTCAGTCTAAAGAAAAAAATTTGTTATTTTAGATTTTAAAGCATGTTGACGATGATGAATACAATGATTAATTGATTACTTTTACAAAAAAATCGAGAGAATCAATAGTTTACAACTTTTCGCTCGCGTAACCGAAAAATTATTGTCGTTGGAAAATTTTCTTCATTTCTCTATTGTTGCGTTCACTTAGCTACAATTAATTGCAAATTATACATTAATCTTTTTCTTGTTTCATACATGTATATACACTTGTCCTGCTCAAATAGCAGCTTAACCACCACAGTAATTGCACTGCACATCCATTTATACTTGTTTTTAAAACAAAAATTTCTCTTTAAATTATATCTTCTTTAGCACTATCCTTTTGTTAAAGTTACCAACCTCGATGCAAAGTAAAAAAATAATTATGTGTTTATATAAGTATATATAAAAAAATAAAAATGGCTACCACCTACTATCCATCTTGTTGTTATGACCTCTAACTGATCAATTATAATTTTTATAACAAAAATATTATTGTTATTTTTTCTATTTTACTTTTTTTTCTCATTTTTTTTAGTATTTTTTGATAAGGACTTCAATTTAAATGAGATGGTGATGATGGAAGGAAAGAATATCAAATTTGAATTTCAATAACAAATCAAAAAGAATATAAAATATAAAAATAAAAAAATATAAAACAGATAAATAAGAAAAATAAATTTCCAATCTCTTTTTTTCTTTCCTTTTTAGAATGACAGTATAAATTTAATTGAACTTTTCTCATACATTATGAGATTTTTATATTTCAACTTCAATAGATCGTTTGTCAACTGTCAACACAAATAAAAGTATGTATAATATTATATTAGTATTTGTACTGAACATATGTAGGTACATATGCATTATTTTATAAATAAATAAATATATTCTATATACAGAGATATTATAAAATGTACATTTATTTTTTTATACAAACAGGATGTTTCCATAATTTGAACTTTTATATCTATAAATCCGAAGTTTAATGAAAATTTTCATTACTTGCAACATAAAAAAAAATAATTTATAGTCAATAAGTTTGTATCTAACTTTCAACAATATTTCCTTGAATCTTGTGGTACAGATGACGATGTAGTACACTCTACATTAAAATTCGAGAATTACTGTTATAGGAATAAAATTGGTAAATTTAAAAATTAAGTTACCTAAACATTTTAACAGAATTAAAATTTATTTAAAACTTATTTCAGTTCAATATGAAGCCTACAAAGACGGAGTAATACAAAGGGTATATTGCAATCGGAACCCGCATTTTAGTATTCATAAGCGTAAATTGCAATTTATTTTTTATATATATATACATACATACATATACAATTTTTATCAATTTACTTTCTTTAATGATCTTATGAAATGAATATTTAAAACTTAATAAATAAAAAATTATTTACAAGAAAACACCCTGTGTAATATTATTTGTGCATAGTTAAGTACAAAGAAAAAATCTCATTAAATATAAATAATAAGGAAATGATATTGTGTGTGCCATTTTTCGGGTGAATCAAATCATTTTGAATTAAATCTTTCTGATGTAATTATCCTTAATTCTAATTTAATATTCTTTAACAAAATTGAAATATATGGAGGAAGTATAGTCGTACTTATACATAAACATTTACAAATACTTACAATTTAACTTGATGAATTTTTTTTTTATTTTTTACATTTTTGTTTTTGATTTACGAGTACAATTTGGTTCATTCTGTTTTTTATTTTTACTTTTCTTTAACCTTCTAGTTATTTTATTTGTGTACTTTTTATTTTTATTTTCTTTTTCTACTTTTGCAAGAATGGTAATTTATGACCTTCGTTTTTGATTTTGGTTCTATAGAACTTAATTATGTCATTTTAAGTACATCTACTATAATAAGATTCTATTTTGGAAGAAAAATATATTTAGTTTTATTTCCATACATAATATTTTTTTATAATAAAAATACTGTGCTGTTTTCAATTTAACATTATTAAATTTAAATATGACTCGTATGTAAACGCGTGTAAAATAGGGAATAACTTGGTAAAAATAAAAAAAATTAATTTGTAGTAATTTAAGAAATAAAAAAATTTCTCTGCAATTTTGTGAAGAAGTTAATAGTATAGCAGTTAATAGTATGTATTTGATTAAAGACAGAATTGTGAAAAAGATTCACATTTGGTTATAATTTGGAAAAATTTGAATTAATTCACGTTCCAGTTGTTGTATATATTTTTAAAAAAATCTCCGCTTTTATTTTTAAGAAGCAATATCTAAAATATGTATGTATTTGACAGTAATATAAATAGACAATTGTAGTATATTCCTTTTAAAGCTTTCTAAAATGTAAGCAAATTTAACAAAATTGAGGTAAGTATACTATATAAAATTGATAGCAATAACTTACAGCATTAAGTAATAAATTATAGATTTATAGCTAATAGAATTTGTCAACTCATAGAAAAAAACATAGTTGCTTAACTTTTTTCAATTTGTTTAAAAATTGCATACATATAGGGGCGGGAAAAAAAATTCATTTATGGAACTACTGTTGAAAGACTATATTTTACGAGTCTTTCTGTTTAAAATGCAAAATATTTATGTAATTACAGTACGAAATGAATACTTCGATTCATGTTAGTTTTTCTTTTTATTATTACTACTGCTTTAAGTAGAGGTTTTCAAGAATGTTGTTCTATATTTCTATATATTAAAATAATTTTAAAATTTGCTGAACAATAATAGCTCTGCTGCTCAGCAATTTGCTGAACATTTCTGCTAAAATTAGAAAATTTTTGAAGGTCAATGAAAAGAGAGATGAATGAAAAACTAAAAGATTAAAAAAACAGAAATTATATTGAACGAAAGATGAAGAATAAAAAAAAACAACTTCTTTTTTTTTAACTAAATAGAAACGTAGCATTTATGATTTGTCATATAAAAAAGTTATCTTATTATAGAAAAAAACCCATTTAGATTTTTTGTTTCATTTTCAATAAACACGAATAGAAAAAAAACTTTGAAGAAAACTTTAAGCAATCGACTAATTGCCTTTTATAAGAATTGTTCAACAATTTTGCAAATTGAATACAAAAAATTTTGTACAATTTTTAATATTTGATCATTCGAAAAGAAATTTACTTTGAATAAAAAATTTACTTTGAAAACATTAAAAAATAATCTTAAATACGTATATGTAAAAAAAACTTTCATAACCACTGATTTAAAATGAAAACTGCCATTTTTTTACTTAAACTCTGCATCGAGCGCGTTGTTTCATATTAAGTATACTTCTAAATAAAGGAATACAACCAAATTCATTCTTATAAATTATATAAAGAACCGCATGTAGTCATGAAAATTTGTTATATAGCGCTCATTTCAACTCTTAAGAAATCTAGCAAATATACTTACTTAAAGCACTTGTATACATAACAAACCTCAAAAAATGTAAGCTTAGTAATGATTCTGAAATTTAACATTATTTAAAAAAGTTTTTTAGTTATTTTTGTTGCCAAACGTTGTTACGAGTATATACGTTAACTTCGGTTGTATGATCAAACAAAAAGCTATTTAAGAAATTTTGTTAATTATTTCTTAGATTTAGTCAAAAAATTTTAATTTGGGACCTTAATAAATAATCGGTTGCATTGCAGGCATCGATTTTTACAAGAAGCTTGTTCATTCGTCATACTTTTAGATAAATTCCAATAAAAATCTTGTTTAAAAATTTATGAAAATAAAGCCGGAATTATGGTTCTTAACTATTGCGCGCTTATATACCTACACCCAAATCATAGTAGTGTAAGCCATGAAAATAAAGCTACATACAAATTAATATTTTTCATTTAAATTTCACTAATCATTTTATTATGTATGCATATTATAAGATGATTTTTGTTAGTTTCATAAACAGGTTCGTCTATTTCAGTATTCTATAGTTTGGGTTCTTAATCCTTATGCAAAACTTTTATAAAACTCCACGTCAAACCAAATATTTCGGTTTCAAAACTCTATAAATTCTGTGTTGTTTGCGTAATGATTCGACATCTAATTATAACTGTGCTATTGTTTATGTATTATAACAAATTATACTTATTTTAGACCAAGTTTTTAGCAATTATTAATTTTAAGTTCTTATTTATATAGAAATTATGTTAGTTTAATCTTATATACTTACACATCTCTATTTTAATCATGCAAAGCTAAGATAAAACAATTTTCATTTTTAATTAATTTAATTCTTATCGTGATTTAAAATTTTTTTTTCAATTCATTTTACATGAGTATTAAATACGCAATTCAGAGATTTCGTGTACATGATTTTATACCGACATTGACATAAATCGTAATTACACATTTAAGTGCATATAATGATTATTTTATGAATAGTATATATACAGGTTATTATACGTTCATATATATATATACACACACATATAAAGCAAATATATATATATATATATGAATAATATGTTTAATGATCTGAATTATAATGAATTTTTACTTCAAATTTCTATGGGTATTCAAATATAAAAAGGTGCAGCCATATTATAACATGGAAGATGCAGTAATAAAATTACAAAAAAAATACAAATTCAAGAGTTTAAACAGTCAAAAGTAAAATATATTTAAGAGCAGTAGAAAAAGAAAGAAATTTAAGCTGAATCCTTTTTTAAAGTTAAAATTAAAAAAAAAAAGATTAAACGTAAGTATTTAAACAAAATTAAAATACTTAAACTCGAATACTTAAATATAATTAATAATAAGTAATTACTCCTTTTGACAGGCTGTTTCATTTTTAGAAATGGTGCACAAAATAAATGAGTGCTTGATTGAAAGTGTTAAGAATTATACAATTTTACAACAATTTACGAAAGTTGAAATTAAGTCAGTACTTATACTTAAACTCTTAAATTTTTATGAATAAGTTTAAATATTAAGTGCTTGATCAAGAAGTAATTTTATCATACCTCATTGTCAAAGATAAGATTAAATTATCCATATTTTAAATAACAGTTATTCATTATAAGTACATAATATGAAGAAAAAAAATTTAAATATTCTTATAAGCAAGAAAAAATAAAGATTTAAGGATAATTAGTAAAATAAATGTTGATTAAAAAAACATGATTACTCTAAAGTTTATGAAAAAAACATAATAAGTAATATTGATGAAATAATCTTGCAATACCATCTCAGATTTCGCTTCTTCACAGTTTCTTTTTTATAATATTATACTTTATACTGAAAATACATACGTACTAATCTACATTTATTATAAACCAGAATAATTTAGCAATAGCGAATAAAGAAAAATATATGTATTAAGTATACACTTAAGTACAAGGTTTCATTGCAGATATTATCTACATCATTTCCAAAATATTCATACACAGATATATTTACAGATATGTATAAATATATGTAGGTATCGATAATTAGAAATTAGCTACAGTTGTTTATCAGCTGATATGACGTAGCATATTATAACGAGCTCTGCAGTAAAATTATCATTTCATCCTGTTGAATTAGGTGAAGGCATGTGGTGCTTTATTGTATATTTACATTTGTACATGAACTATACATATACATATATATAAAACAAATTTTCTTTTTTTCTCTCTTATTTTATATACCTCCTCATTCTTATGTAGTCTTTTATAAGTATATGCCATCCGTAAAATTATCAATGGGCGGAAAGGTGAGAAAAAAACACGCAAAATAAAGTTTCTTTTTTGTAATTTTATTTGCATATTTAAATGTGTAAGGATGTATATTTTTCTTCTTCAAAAGAAAAAAAAATAATAAAAACGCAAATAAAGGAGTTCGTTAAATGAAAAAAAAAAATTATGTTACCTGAAAAATAAGTAACGCTTCTAAAATATATTTTCGTTTATTACAAAAAAGCGAGTCCGTAATATCTTGCATGTCAAATTTTCTGTATGTACCTACCTAAATAGAGTTTTTCTTTTTTGCTGGTTTTTTTTTGTTTTCCTGAATTTGTCTATGGATGGAAAGAGAAACTTAACAATTGAAAATTAATGGAAATAACTAACTAGAGAAAAATTAAAATGTAGAAAATGTAACTGAAATTTTATTTATTTTATTCGAATTTCTTATCTTGATTTATGAGAAAATTAATTGAAAATTAATTTTATTTTAAAATTAAACTTCTTGTTACTCACATTAAAATCAATAACACAATTAAGAGCATTAAAACCAAGTCCTTTCTTTTATAAACGTATTTATATAAATGTACATTATAGATACATATAATAGATAGAAAATACGTCTATATTTGTATGTTCGTTGTAGCATGTAAATATATAAGTGCATATATATAACGTTTTATTCTTAATAGCTATTTATTTTTAATATCCCTTTAGATCGAATCCTTGTAATCAAAAACAAACCAGTTCAATGTTTTAAAATAATATCTAAAGGAAGGAGAAACAAAACAAAGACGTGCAAATATACATATTAAAAAAGATGTAAATATAGGTACTTTATCTACTTTATAAGTTAAAAAATTGTAATATGTATTTTTTTTATTCGAAAAACAAAATCCATGCTATTAAGTTTACACAACTATACCCTAGTGTAATTTTAATGTCTGCTCTATCTATTTTATATTTTTTGTTTTCAATTTGTTAAGTAAGGGAAATATAATAACAGCAGCTCCAAACGGTGGGGTCAAGGCCAATAATTCATGAATATCATCATAAAGTGGAAAATATTTCTATTTGGTTTATTTTTAAAATATTTGCCTCTTTCAAAAATATATAAGTAGGTAGTTATGAAAAATATTATTCGCCTCTACGATAAGGAGAATAATAAATGAGTTGAAATTATGTCTTGACAATCATCTATCTTTTTACTGGTATAGCTATATTTAATATAACTACATAGATAGTATTGAGTTAAAAGCTATATTGTTAGCAAAAGAATGTGGATTGTACAATGTTGGGTATATTTTAGAAGAAAAATTAGTGTTAACTCAAGATAATTTGGTTTTTATTACTTTAAAGTATAATTTTAGAAATATTAAGTATTATATTAATTTTTCTCAATATTGATTCAATGCATTTATGTTACTTGCAAAAGTTTTCTTATTTTGTACATATTATAATGATTTAATTATCTGCTAATTTAACCATGGATGATTTAAATATATTTTAATATTTTATGAATTAAAATTTTTATTTAACTTAAAAAAAATTTACCTGATTTTGTACATTTATTATTAGCTGAGTTTGGAAATTTTTTATTAAATGTAGAAAAATTAATAATATTAAGAAATAATGACTTGGTTGCATTAAATTTACACACATTTTATCAAAAGATACACAAAACTAAAAATATTTTTACTGGAAGAACTAGTATTAAAATTTAGTTTTTGATAAAAAAATCCCATTTATTTGATTAATTGATGTATTTTTGTCCAAATGGACTCTTAATGAAATTGTTCAATTTTTTTCTTTTTTCCCTTAATATTTTTTTGCAATATGAATTTTATCCGCACAAAATTTTATCATTTTTATTTACTTTTGCACAATATGAAAATACCAACTGAACTGATAAGTTTTTGTTATATGAAAGTCAACTATATTTTTCTAGTACTCTAAAAAATAACAAAAATGTCACTGTCATGCGACTGTCTTCTGATTGTTTTTGTTTTAAAATTTGTTGTTTCGATACTCGATAATTAATTTCAACAATATTTTTGGAGTTATCATTTTGAAATTTAGAATAGCAGTAAATTTATTTTACCAATCATAATAAATGGTGATGCCGAAATAATTTTTTTTTGTTGTTAATGCCATTGCTTATGTTTACTTTTTTAAAGTATTTAATTGATATCATTATCGCTTTTACATTTTCTTTATTATTTGTAAATAATTTTGTAAACAATTTCTTTTTGGTTTGATCAGAATTATCTTATCTGTTTTAGATTTAAACAATCCTACCTGCCTTATAAACTGCTAAGCACTTAATCGTATGTACAAAAATTAAACTATACATATTTCTCAATGCCATAGAATGTTTTTCAAAAGAAAGTTCCGTTCTTGTTTGTCATATATTATCCTATAACTTAAATTGTAGTCTGCATTGCATTAGATAATTTTCTAATAATATTGTTACATGTGGTAATATTAACGTGCTATATTGTGGTAAGAAATTTAATTACGACTCATGTAAAGAATTAAACGAGGAAACGCAATTTAATATATTAATTGTCAAAGTGCAATTTTTAAAAGTAAATTGTGCATAAGTTAATACATTAATACTGCAAATGGAGATGATATTAATTGCTTGTACTAATTATAAAGTAAATAAAGTAAAATGCATTCTATGTAGAAGATATAATTTATTTAAAACTCTTACGACGCTGACACTCAATAATTATCATTGACATAAACCAAGAAGAAACACAAAAGTTTTAAATTCAATAATTAAAACATTAATTTAAATTGTGTAAATAGGTTATCACCAATTAATAGGACTTCACAATAGTGCTTTTATTTTTACTTCAAGAATGGGTGCCTGTTTTGTTTGATATATTCTTAAATAAAATGTTATTGTCATGTATGCTACAATTAATTAAGTTTTGTTTTAATTTCATGTTTTATATAAGACATTTTAAACCCCCTCACGAGACAAAAATTAATAAAACTTAGTAAACTTTTAAAAAATAATAAACCTCGAGGATAGATATAAAAAAAGCAAGTTATTTTTTGACAATGTCCAAGTATATGTTAAAATTAAAACGGCTTTTAAAAAAATAATAATTCCTGGTAAAAAAAACACGCTCATGTGACAAAGCTTATTAATTTTTACTAAGATGAGAGACAAACTGAGTTTAAATTTGTTTTATGAGACAATTATAAACTATTATAAATTTACGTAATTGTGTGTTTCAATGACGATCGAATAGATAATGTGTAAACGATACATTTTGAACGATTGCTGTAGAAGACAATGTGGAAAATATGACGATAATTTCTTTTCTTTATATCTGTGTAGCTCAGTTAGTACGATACAGTGCCAGCCTTGAAAAGAAAGCGTTTGCTTACTGATGTGAGTAAATTTTAAGGAGAAAAAATTCCTCATTAAATTTTTTTTTTGCTTAACCCGTTTCTTTGGAAACGTTAGACTCATACATCTGTCATGTTTTGTATTTAGTTCGCCAGAGTTATACTAGAAAAAAAATCGCTCCCCTTATGCTCAAAATACATTGCTATACTCCTCAATAGCAATTTAATAAAGTTCAAATGGTGCACAGCAACGAAAGCCTTAAATGTTTATTGTCAAAGAGTAGGTACACATTTTATATGACATTTTTATGAAAAACGTCAGATCCCTTGACATTTCCTATATTTTCTTAGTTATTTTTAACATCATAACAAGTTTTGTTAATAAACTAAGTAAGTTTATATTGAATAAAAAATGCATCAGAAAAAAGATAAAAAACAAAATTAAGAAATTCCAGTGCCCATTTTGTGGTGAGCTACGTCATGTGGATTTGGACACTAGTAAAGTTTTTTTTACGTATAATTGAAAAATTATTTTCTTTCTCGGTAATTTGTGTTATATTTTTTGAAAATATTCTTTATATGTATTAATGTTTGTAGGCCAATAAACAAGTTTTGTTAATAAACTAAATAAGTTTATATTGAATAAAAAATGCATCAGAAAAAAGATAAAAAACAAAATTAAGAAGTTCCAGTGCCCATTTTGTGGTGAGCTACGTCATGTGGATTTGGACACTAGTAAAGTTTTTTTACGTATAATTGAAAAATTATTTTCTTTCTCGGTAATTTGTGTTATATTTTTTGAAAATATTCTTTATATGTATTAATTTTTGTAGGCCAATATAATGAAAGATTTCAAGATTTGTCTAAAATGTCACAGTTTTATACAATCAATTTGTGCATTTTGCAACCAAGTCCACAATGCTTCACAAAAATTAAAAAGAAAAGAAAAGTATACCAATAAGTTTTGTACATTTACGTACAAAATATAATTCTATAATTAAAGAAAATAATCATGAAAATTTAGAAATAATAGAAGTAGAAAACAACCAAGGTTTTCTAGATGGGATTAATGATGACAATCATAATTCAGATAATGAATTGGACCAATATTTTATTGAAATTGCAACTAATGACAATTATTAAGACTTAACAAATTCAGGAAATAAATCAAAACATTATTGAAACTCCAAAACTGGAAATTATGACGATTGTACTAAAAGTTCATATCAAACTGAAACGAAAAATGAAAACTAATCAACGCCAATACATAGTTTCAAAGTAAAAAAGAGTGGAGAAGTATTCTTAAACAAAAAAAATTAAAAATTTATCAAAGAAAAAAAAGGATGTGATATATGTGGAAAAACCATTTCAAGTAGTTGGCATTTAAGAGAACATAAAAAATTGCATGTTTTTTTTAAGTGCCCACATTGTGATCTCGAATATCCGAAAAATTGGACAATGATAAATCATTCTCGTAATAAGAATTCTAAAGAAAAATCATTGTGTGAAATATGTGGTAAAGGATTTGCAAGCAACTGATATTTAAGACTGCATCGTGCCATGCATTTATCCGTTGAGGAAAGAGAGTTCTGTAAATTCGAAATTTCTAGCTAAAAGTTTAGTACTTACGCAAGTTTAAAATATCACAAATTACATTTATCTGTTGAAGAAAAAAAGATTAGATTTTTCAAATGTCCGCATTGTGATATAAAATGTTCAAGAAAGAGGTCTCTAATAAACCATATACGTACTAAGAACTCAAAGCAAAATGCTTTCACATACGAAATTTGTGATAAAGTGTTTGCCGCTAAAAGATACAAGTAAAAGATAAGGAATACAAATCAATAATATCGTTAACTAATTATGCCGTGTATGTTTATGATGCATATGAATTCAAAGATAAGAAGCAATGTTGATACTAAAAACAGCGCTTACATCTGGAGCAAGGATATAAATTATGTACTGAAAATATTTGCAAGATTTCCATGATCATCAATTTCCGTGAGGAGGTCACAAAGTTTCCGTGCTCATCAAGTTCAGTGCAAACGTTAACTTTCAACAAAACTTATCACATCACTAAAACTATAGTAATTTTATGATACATTTTAGGAATGCAAAAACTTAATAACTAGCGTTTTATTGCTGAAAATTAATGCTTGTTTATTTAATTGGTTATTTCTGGTAAAATTTATATGATATGTATAAGAAAAGCGTGCTCGATACCCAATTTACTTTTATTTTACGTATCCACTACGTATAGAACGCATTTTGGAAAAGTGTACAATGTCAACAGCTTTATTACAGCTTTATAAAAAAATTAAGTACGGTATTAATAGAATAGTAATACCGTCTCAGAGCTTTAAATACCTTGACATTGTAAAAAAAACTGCTAAAGCTTTTGAAAAATTTGAATACAATTTTTACAGTATTAATATATGTGTACTTTGGCGTTTGTTTAAAAATTTCAATTTAAAGTTCTCTGCAAATCACGGCTGACAGCTATACTTGGCGGCTGGCAGAAATGATTTTTTGTAATGTCGAGTTGCAAATGTTAATTTTTAATAAACGTTGCTACATCATTAAAAACATAGCACTTTTATGCTGTATGTTTCGAAAGAAATTTAGTAAGCAGCAGTTTATTGCTGAAAATTATGCTATTTTATTTATTTGGTTACTTCTTACAAGATTGATAAAAATATAAAAATTGTATGTAACATAAAAATGCATTCAATTTTGGTAGTTTAATCTATAATTTAAAAATCTATAGCAAAAAAATTTAGCCTAAAAACGAAATTTTGAAAATATAAAAAAAATTGATTGACATTAATTTGTCTATACATATCAAGTCAAAACAAAATGTCTTTAAATGTCATTAAACCTACTTTACACTTAGTCGATATACGTGAAAGACCTGTCTAAAAGTTATTTTTCACTAACGTGAAATTTCAATCTAACTAACGTAAAAATTTTCACAATGAGAGATGAAAATTTCGCATAAGAATACGTTTAAACATTTTTTGGGACAAAAATTATTTAAAAAAATTTCAATTTCGAAATAATTTTGATTCTTTAAGAAAATATGAAATTTCGCTGAAATTGTGAATTTTTTAAATAAAAGCCGTTGCTAAGATTTAGGCTTTAAATTCCGCTGCTTGAGTGGAATTCCGCTGATAACATCTTGTTGCCTTCGTTCCAATTTTTTTTAAATTCCATTAATCGTATTACATTTCTTATTTTCTTTTCTCTTCTTAACTAAAAAAAAGTTGAATATTTAAAAAAATATCACGATGTTGTACAAATTTTTCAAAAAACTCGCATTTAAATTTCGTTAAACCTAAGAGAAAGAAAGACAGGAGGCAACTCCAGTTCCCACTTGGATACAATTGTATCCATTTGAATATAATTTTGCTTTAAATTTGAGCTTGAATACAAAGATACTCAAATCTGCTAAAATGCCTAAATTGGCTACATATAAAAATTTTGCTAAAATATGGATACATTTTTTTTTCAAACACTAAATAAATATTACAAAACAGTTAAAATGCTGCTAATATTAAATCGCGAAGTTGCTTTATCTTCAAAAAATGTTATTTGTTGGTTTCCCTAAGCAGGTTTCCGAATTTTTTACAAGAAAGTAAAAAAGATACTTTATTAACTGCCACTTCTTGTGTTCAAATCTAGAGCATTTATACAAGAATGTACCAGAAATATTTTAGTGTAAGCTAGGTGTAATAGAACATATTTTTTAAAATTTATCCGTTTTCATGGTGAATCGTCTTTACCGCATAGTTCAACAAGTACACAACATATACATATGTTTTTGCTTACCTTAACTTTTACATTTAAAATGTAATAAAGGTTGTATGTGTTTTCTTAAAGAGTTTACTATAAATAAAAAAACTCATATTGTGGAATAAAGCAAATTAATATTAATTACAGGTTAATTTGTACAAAATAAGACGACTTAGTATAATAATGCTATTTTAGGAGGAATACATTTTGGATACATTTTTTGTTTTTTTCTCGAAATTGGATACATTTTCTTTTTACCAAGTGGGAACACTAGAAGGAAGAAAGGAAAAATGGAAAAATTTTTCAATTTCATATTTCAGTACGGTTTTAAATATTAATGAGGAAAGATATATGACTTTTTATGCACATTTTGTATTTTTCAATAAAGTAAGTTGAGTAGTGTCGGCTTACCAAAAGTGGTAATGAAAGTAATATAATGTGGTTCATTCCAACAATTTGAGTTATTATCTCATCTCAATTATTTAAAAGATACTTATTGTATTGTTTCAAATAATTTTTAAGTTATGAAAAATAAATATGTATGTACCTACTTCCCCACATTTGTTTTTTACATAATTATTTGAAAACTAGTTAACATGTTATATATAGTACTTGAAAAATATATGGCTTCTTCCTTTATATTTTATTAACAGGTAAACAAGAGCAATTTATTTATAAAATGGCCTTGCTTGGGTATGTATGGTTTATATCATAATACTAATAAAAGGACCTTACCTGTGTATGTATAGCTTATCTTAATACTAAGTGCATACGGACAAAAATTTACATAAGTACCTGACATTTTACAATCGAAATTTTTGGGTCATTTGCTAAGATATTATGTATTTCAAAAAAAAAAAAAAATATTCAAACCCGTAAAATTCATATTCAATTCAAATAAATATATTATTGTCTTTTTTTTTTTTTTTTATTGGTGTGAAAAGAAAACTTCCTTTTATTCGGAATAAAATACTTTTATTTTTCGCTAATATATTTCGTGCGCTACATACGCACTTTATCAAAGCTGATTTTCTTCATAATAGCTGATAAAAGTATTTTATTCCGAATAAAAGGAAGTTTTCTTTTCACACCAATAAAAAAAAAAAAAAATTATATTTCGGAAAAATTATCAACCATTGGAAAAAAAAAAATTTTTGAATATTATTGTCTCTTCCAAAACAATTTAAATATTTTTTTACTTACGTAATTGATTTCATTTAAAAAATATAAATTTCGATTTTAAAAAAAAAAAACCTATAAAATAAAGTCGTGCTTTCCAATTTCGCTTTATGCATTGGGATTTGCTAGATAAAAAGACATTAAAATAATCGTATATAGACATATGTAATACCCTTGAAGCTTTTTTGCCAAGCTGGCCAACATCACTAAAAAATGCCTATTCAAAGTAGTACCTTCGTAACATCTTATTTATAGGTTTATAACTATTTATCAATAGACACTCTCCTTCGCTCTTCTCAAAGAAATTCTGGCATGCTTAATTCGAATATTATACCACAAAAAACCAAAAAATGGCACTGTCTGGGCTTTAAATTTATTTGTTACGAATGTAACGAACATTGCTGTGATCCATCGTATAGTTTTGTTTAATCATAACTCATTAATACGAAAAGTGCAGTTATTGAGGGGGTTTATACCCAAAAGGATTTATCATCATCTACCAAATTATAACAGCTGTGCTTATAGCATACATATTTCCAAAACTTTTTTTATTCTCCTCACATCTTTTTCTTTATAAACAAATTTTATTTTGGAATAGATATTTGCATCAAGAATTTTATAAGCTCACAATCATCACGCATAACGAATTAGAAATATTACAGGAAGGAAAGCAACATCTTAAAAAAAAATTAGAGACAAATTCTTTTTTAGTTGTGTCTTTCTTTGTTCCAACTATTGTAAAATTCGTAACCAACGAATTAGAAATACTAAAGGGAGGAGCATCTTAAAAAACAATGATGTAAAATTTTTCTGGTTGTTTCTTTCTTTGCTCCGCGTATTGTCAAAGTCGTGACAGAAGCGTAATCATTTTATTTTCTTGTTTGGCCTCTAGTATAAAATATGTGTAATTTGAAAACAAGATAAGTTGAAAATTTTTTTAAAGTAAAAAAATATTTCAAAACATTTTTTCATTTTAATATATGTATGTATTTTTATATTACATTATCCAACTTTCCTTGAATTGAATATATGTTTTTGATATTTTGCATTGAATTGGTGTTTACCTGTAATGATAATGTTAGAACAACGTTATTCAATGTGAGACGCTGTTGCATTTCGGATACAATGTTGTGGTAAATTCTTAAACGTCAAATTTTACAAAATCTGAGTTATCTGAGTTTACGGATACTCTACTACGTTTGAAACTGAAAACAAATTTTGACGTTAAAGAATTTACGGATAACTAACATTATATTTACAAATTAATGTTAAACAACTTTAAAAGAAGAAGAATCAGGGAGTTCAATTTGCCATGTTTTTGCTCTACACAATAATAAATATTTCAAAATAAAGATATTCATTCAATAAATTTTGAATGATGCGACAACACTCTTTGGTATAATACCCTTTGTTTAGTCACTTTAAGATTACTTTTGAGTTTTTGATACATCCCTGGCATAAAAAAAATGAATTTTCATAACCAAAGTGTGCAAGAATTTTATAGATTATAGTTCTGCCATAGTGTCATTATGATGTAGTTAATTTAGAGGGTTTAAGAAAAGAAGGTAAAAAGAAAACCAAAAAATGAAAAATAAGTTGCAAGGGCACAAAAATAAATCTAGTTCAATATTATTTCAAGTTTTTACTGAGGTTTTTTGCAAAGTATGTATTGGATGTTTAGTTCTTTTTTAAGTTTTTTTAAGATTTTTTATTTTAGTTCTTTTGGATCTGAAATCAATTCAATCAAAAATGTGACTTACGTAATAGGATGAAACAAGAACTTTGAAGAAGTTCGGGAAACTTCAAAATGGACGTTTTAGCAAAGAATGAAACATTGTTTCAAGGTAAGTAGAATATGCAAGAATATGAATTTATGTTTTGTAAAGTTTAAGAGTTCGTCTTTTGTTTTTCAATTTCTCAGAAATTGTGAACACGTTGTAACAAAATTATTTGTACTGCATCAAATTTTAGTGTTCAAATATTCAAGTTATAAAATACCAATTAGCTTACTGAAACTGTCCTTGTGTTATTTGCAATGCACGTATTTTAACATTGTGACCGTCAAAAAGGACATACATTAAATATCTTTTTCTCGTTATTAACTTAAACAAATATGATGTTACAGTGTGTTCAAAATAAAGGATTACAAAAAATTCAATTTATGCATCATGTTTAACCTAAAACAAAATATTAGGCGCAGTTTAGTTATGTAGGTAAGTACAAAAAACTCAAGGCTAGCTTTGGTTTTTACTGTTGGAGTATGCTTAAAACGCTCCACTGATGCTTTTGTTAAGATCATATAAAAGAATTTGTGTTAAGTAAGCTAATATATTAGTTTACAGCTTTATGACAAAAGCAGATAAACACTGATGTACCAGTAATACTACGATAAATTGGTGTTTAATATTTTAATTCTAGCATAATTTTTGCTGCAGGATTGTGTTACTTTTTAAATTCATATTTAAAAAGTGAGAAAGTTCCAAAATTCAAATATGTACGAATCTTTATACAATAAACCTTAAACTTAATGAATTAAATTGTCCTTGTGTTCTTTGCAATGCATATATTTTAACATTGTGATCGTCAAAAAGGACATACATAAAATATCTTCTTCTCGTTATTCACTTAAACAAATATGATGTTAAAGTGTGTTCCACATAGAGGATGACAAAAAATTCAATTTATGCATCATGTTTAAACTAAAACAAAACTATTAGGTGCAGTTTAGCTATATAGGTAAGTACAAAAAACTCAAAGCTAGTTTTGGTTTTTACTGTTGGAGTATGATTAAAACGTTCCGCTGATGCTTTTGTTAAGATCATATAAAAGAATTTGTGTTAAGTAAGCTAATATATTAGTTTACAGCTTTATAACAAAAGCAGATAAACACTGATGTACCAGTAATATTGCAGTAAATTGGTGTTTAATATTTTAATTCCAGCACAATTTTTGCTGCAGGATTGTGTTACACTTTAAATTCACATTTAAAAAGTGAGAAATCTTCAAAATTCAAATACCTATAAACCTATATACAATAAACATTTAACTTCATGAATTAAATTGTCCTTGTGTTATTTGCAATGCATATATTTTAACATTGTGATCGTCAAAAAGGACGTATATAAAATATCTTTTTCTCGTTATTCACTTAAACAAATCTTATGTTAAAGTGTGTTCCACATAGAGGATGACAAAAATTTCAAACTATATTCCAAGCGAGCTAAAAAAAACTTTGTGTTACCAGATCTTTTTAAAAGCAAGGTAGAAGCAAATAGTAGATGTATTTTAGTTCTGTTTCTAGAATATGCCTAAAGCATACATATTCCAATGTTGGGATTCAAATACTCATCCGTTTCTTGTACAGTTTTTGCTGCACAATTAATTTTGATAATACTTATGATCAAATCGTATCTGTAAATGCAAAACAAATATGGAAACCATTTTAGGTTTATGAAAAGTTTAGTGATCGTTCTGTTATGTTAAAATTTATTTTTTTAAGAATTCCATAATTCACGTATGGTTTGTTTACTATTTTTACCCATTATAATCTTGGGAACCTTTTGAGTCATATCGCGTTAAAATTTTTCGTATAAAAAGTAAGATTTGTAGGGGTGAGGAATTTTCGCAGTTGCATAAAACTCATATTTATTTAGAAATATTGAAAAAAGTAAGATTTGTAGGGGTGAGGAATTTTCGCAGTTGCATAAAACTCATATTTATTTAGAAATATTGCATTGGGTTTGTAATAAACTTAGTAATAACGTGTGGATACAAATTGTCCTTGTGTTTTCAAAAAATTTTTTTTTTCAATGGTTGTCCTTGTGTTGTTTGTAGTACTCATGTCATGGTACTATAATTGTCAAAAAGGACGTATAGAAAATATCTTTATAACGTTATCCATTTCAACATTATGTTGTTGAACTGTTGTTCCATATGAAGATTACACTTTCAGTTTTGGAATACATATATGTATGTATTTATAAGCTATAACTTAAATTTTTAAGCTATAAGTAACAACTAAAATTTCCAATTTTATGTTTTTTCAAAAAATAAAAACTTTGGCCACAACTTTATACATATATTAAAATTATGTTTGTTTTTAGAGCAAGAAAAGAATGGCTGTGGACGATATAATATAATTTGACGACAACCAAGAAGAATATACCCATAAGCTTACCTGGATTTGAACATCATGGGATCATATTATTTTCTCGTAAAACTAGGGAAAATAAATGTATAATTAAAAAATCTATGCATCTACACGAAGTTTCGTATAATTAAAAACTAAATTTGATATTTAAAATAATTTATTTATACATTAATATATGAAGAAAAATAACGTCTTTAATGAACAACTTTTAATTATTATTAAAACAAAAGATAAAAAAAAATAACAAAAATAATAAAATTTGATCTACATATATTTATGCCATTTAAAGATTTATCTACTTTCATTTATAAATTTTATTTTTGACTAAAGTGTGTGATCAATATTCAATGATGATGAACGATACATAATAAGAATACGAAATAAAACAAAAACATTCCTCTAAAAAATACTTTAGTAGGTATTTATTGTAGCAGAAATAATTATAACTTATATTTTTTTAACATGCGTTCAAAGCGTAAGTTTTGCAGAGATTCTCATATTCAAGAAACGTTAATGAAAGCAATACCCAGTGTTGCGTATGTATTTTCATATTTAACACACCCGGTAATTAGTTTTTTTTTTTTGAAAATTAGAATTTAAAAATTTGGCGGTAGAACTCTCAGACGAAAAATCGATACTTTCAAAATTCAAAAAAGGAATTTATTTAAAATGAACACATACATATGTATGTTTATTTTATTACATGTTGAAGAAAAAAATTTCTTCTGATGTTTAAATTTTGTGATAATTTGATGCAAAAAGTTAACCAAAACTAAAAATAAGGCAACAATGAATTATATATCGTTGGCAATACAAATCTGTGTTAATACCTATGCGTCTGTATGTGGATTTGATTTTAAATTTTACAGAACACAAAAAATGTTTATAATCGGTTACATTTTTCGCATAATGTAGAAGAATATTTGATCATTCTAAATATAATCGACCCAATTTGTTATTTTTTGTAACAATAAGTATAAATTCCAATAAGTTTATTCCGACTAGTCTAGCGAGATATTTCGCAAAAAATGGAGCCATTTTGGTAAACTCTTAAACGTCAAATTTAACAAAATCTGAGTTGTTTGAGTTTACAAATACTCTACTGCGTTTTTATTTCAGTCAAAGCTTAAATTCTCAAACGTTTAAAAAAAGTCAATTAAGCGTCAAAATTGTAGATTTTTTTTTACATGCAGACAGTCTGACGTAGTAATTCAGTAAATAAATTTGATGTATTGAGTGACTATCATTATGTTAAAAATAATATAAAAAATATTTTTTTTGCTAATTTTTAATATGTAAGTATAAAATTATTTTAAATCTAAAAAAAAATTTTTTTTTTGTTTTGACGTTTACGGATGATCAAAATTCAAAGTCAATTACGGGTAAAAAGTTTACTACATTTCTGTCCGTAAAAGTCTTATACGTCAGACAGTTTGCAGACTGAAAACAAAATTTTGACGTTAAAGAATTTGCGGTTTCTTTTACTCATAATTTTAAATTTAAGAAAACAAATAAGCTTCTAACTGACATACATACATACATATGGACGTCCTAAAATTTCGTGAAATTGTAAAAATAAATAGAGCTGTTAATGTATGTATGTAGATTGCAAAAATCAGGAACTGATTTTCTTCATAACCGATTCTCTTCATATTGTAAAAACAGCACTTATACTCGTACATAGTGAATATATGTACGTACTTATATGTATGTACTTTCAACGGAAGTTTTTCATATGTATATTATAATATAAAGACCGGCGAGCAGAAGTGTTCAAATAATTAAAAAAGTTTTTTTATATTTAATTTTTTTTTTATTTTTATAACAAATTCAATTTCATTACATAACATAAATTTTACTTCAATATTAATCTACTAATTCATAAAATAAAAAATAACAATTCATTAAGAACAAGAACAAAAAACAGTTAAAAATTCATAAAAGTCCCATTTGAACAGTTTTGCACGTTTGGAAATTTTAAACGAAATTTTAATATAAATGCGGTTTTTGTACTTTGACCATAGGCCTTTGTTCTTAATGACGCTCTTTATCCTCCGCGGCATACTTTCAACGAGATTTTGAATTACTTCCTTGTCTAAGTTTTGCCATTCCTTCAAAAATCGTTCCCATAGCTCATTTATGTTTTTGGGAGACTCTGCATAATTATGTAAACGTTTTTTCACAATAGCCCAAAGATTCTCAATAGGATTGAGGTCCGGGCTCTGCGCTGGCCAATTTAGCATGGAAAAATCTTGATCTTTCAGCCAACTTTGAACGATTTTTGCCATATGCTTGGGGTCGTTGTCTTGCTGAAAAATTATTTCTTCGACCGGATAAGCACATTCTTCTACAAATGTAGGCAAATAAGTTTGAAAGAGTTCCAGATATAACTCTTTTGTCATTATTTTATTTATTTTCACAGATGGGCCTATGTGCCACCACGTAAAACAACCCCATACCATAATGTTTCCGGCGCCGTGTTTCATAGTCTCTTGAATTTGATGCCTTTGAAGCTTTTTTTCATTTGAGCGATGCCAGTAATATGACTTTCCATCGGACTGAAATCTATTTACCTTTGTTACGTCGGATCAAATTATACGCTTCCAGTGCTCTACGTTCGAGTGCTGGCGTTGTTGGCAAAAATTCAAGCGGGCTATTCTGTTTTTCTCAGAAATCGCAGGTTTTTTCTTTTTGATTCCAGCTTTTAAACCAATTTTATGCAAAGCTCTTCGAGCTGTCCACTCGCTGACATCTTTTCCCAACCTGTTAGCTGCCTCGTTCGGGGTTTTAACTTTGTTATTTTTCAGAGAGCGATACATCAAGCGAGCATCCGCGTCAGATAATAAACTTTTTCGACCTCCTACATTTTTTAATTCATTTAAATTCTTTTTTTTTCTTATGTTAGAAACAGTCCCAAGAGACACTTCTAATAATCCGGCAATTTTCCTTGTTGAATAGCCCTGCTTTATCATGGAAACTATATTATTTTCGGTTTCTATAGAAATCTTTTTCATTTTGCAAATTTTAATGAAATTCTTTCCGGAAAATAAAGAAATTTACATCTAGACAAAGGTTTTACACTGTTTAAATCTAAATAATACTGTTCCTAATGATGCAGCTTTAAAAGACCGGACTTGAACCGGTTTTTTTTTCATAAAATTTTCAAACATGCAAAAACGTGCAAAACTGTTCAAATGGGACTTTTATGAATTTTTAACTGTTTTTAGCACTTTTCCAAAAAATTTTTTGAAAAAAGTGCTTATTAGTTTCACTCTGTCCGTCCGTCCGTCCGTCTGTCCGTGTGTCTGTTTACAAAACTTCTACACCTTTGAAGATAGAAAGCTGAAATTTAATACGTACATAGATCTTTACTAGAAACTTATTTTCGTAGAACAAAATTTTTACCTATCTCCCCCCCTCTAGAAGTTATACCCCCCCAAAACCTTAAAAATGGCCATTTTTAACTATTTGTTGCAATGAAACCATAAGCATTTTTGAAATTTTGCAAACGCAGAAAGGCAGCGGCTTGCTTCCCCTAGCGCGATATACTATAGCTAAACTTTAGAAAAACAAAATGGCCGTTCAAATTTACCGTTATCTAAAGTTTTTTTTTCCAAATTTTTGATTTCGTTTTTCTTCTAGACCCCAGCCTGTAGAATCTTGAAATTAGGGGCTTATACACATTAACAAATAGTTCATTTCGTTAGAAGAAAATTTTTTTCCATCTCCACCCCCTCTCAAGTTATCGCCTCTTGAAATTTGTAAAATTTGAATTTTTGGGGCCTTATATTTCCAAAACCGCAAACGTTTTCAACTTTCTATAAACATAAAAAGCTAGCGGTAAACTCCGTGACATTAAAAAATATAATTATTTTTCTTAACTCACACAATTAACCCTTAAAATCGAGCATTATGTTAACCCCTTTTTATATTAATTTTTGCTTTATTTCAAAGACTGCATATATGCGTCATCCTAAATATATGCAATCCTAGAAAGAGTTTTGTATATGAATGAAAATAATTTTAATAGTCTGATAGCTATACATAGACTGTATTTAAAAGCAGAATTTTCACTTGTTGAAGGGAAAAGTGCTACAATACAAACCATTGGTTTGACCCAACTTTATTTGTTCTTGTTTTTAGTGAATTGTTATTTTTTATTTTATGTATTATTAGATTAATATTGAAGTAAAATTTATGTTATGTAATGAAATTGAATTTGTTATTAAAATAAAAAAAAAATTAAATAAAAAAATTTTTTTTTAATTATTTGAACACTTCTGGTCGCCACTGTATATTTACGAATGTGTATCAGGTACCTGGCCTACCTTTAATATCTATTTTTAATGAAATATTTTAGTTGCATTAAAGTTTACTGTCCTTGTTTCGATGTACATTTGTATGTATGTATAATGTCTTTATATCTAACAAGTCCCAATGCTCAGAGAGAAACTTGAAAGCACGACCTTTTATATGGTTTTTTTTTAAATCGAAGTGGCTATTTTTTGAGAAGAAATATTAAAATAAATTTACACTTATTATAAAGCAGGTAAAATTCTAAAAATATATTTGAAAAATCAAGAAAATATATTAATATTTTCATTCAGAATTATTTTAAAATTCTTGAAACAGCGGAAAAACAACAAGCACAACCATCGCCTTCAATGTTTTATATGTTACTGAAAGCATTTCATTATTTTTACGAGTAAGTGAACAGCTTTTTTTTTTTCTCATAGGGGAAGTTAACTCAAGATATGGGAAAAAATTTTAGTGTCAAGTTGAAAATATAATTACTGAAAGTCAAACTCAAACTCAAAAATTCCGACTGTAAAATAACAGGTATTTTAAAATTTTTGTTCAGGTATTTTAAAATTCTTTCCGTTTAGAATTAAGATAGGTCATACATACACACGCAGGGACATTTTATAAATAGATTGCTCTTGTTTACCTGCTAATAAAATATGAAAAAAGAGCACAGCAAAATTTTTGAAGCACTTAATATAACATGTTTGAAATAGTTTTAAAATAATTATTTATCAACATTTGAAACCATACTGAAATATGAATTTGAAATTTTTTTTCATTTTTTCTTTCCTCCTACCTTTCCTTCTTTTTCGTGCAATAGAATTTAAATGGAAAGCTTTTCAAAAAATGTGTATAATATCCTGAGATTTTTTAAAATATTAAACCCTTTTTTACTTAAAAAAAAAAGAAAAAAATAATAAAAAATATGACACGATCAGTGGCATTTAAAGAAAAAACCAGCAACGAAGCCAAAAATT